CGATGGCGCGACATTGTCGAGATATGGCTAACTTGGTGAAGAAGTTTGTTGCCTTTTGATGTCATCGCTGATAAGGAATAATAGTCTCAATTAGAAAGAGATTGATTATTTTCTAGTCGGGTAAGGATCCTAAATAAGGGGCATAATAGTGATTATTTTATTTTTTTGTATTATTACTGCTATTATTTGGTAGATATGTGATTAATTAATAGCACTGCCAAAATTACATGGGTATTAGTTATAAAATTGAAAAGTTGATTAATTTAATTTTTAAGGTGGCTTGTGAACTAATTGGGGAATTGCTCATAAAAAACAAAACAAAAAAAAAAAAAAAAAAAAAAAAAAAAAAAAAAAAAAAAAAAAAAAAAAAAAACTATCTTAAAGTATTAAGTGGGAGAAGGAAATTTTAAAGTTAAGGTAATTTAAAAATCATATGGCCTCCATTACTGATTTTTCGGTGATGCATTTAATTGACGTGTAGACCTCGTCATCCAGAGACATTACCAAAATTACTTGTCGGATCACCAGAGAACTTCCTTATGGATAATTATAGGAAATTGTGCATTGAGCTCAACCTCATCGTCCGGGGAAATACAATCCTTGCATGATGACCTTGGGATGTGGTAACGAGTTACACTTAAAATGCGACCTAGATCATCCTCTCCATCGGAGTCACTGATTCTTTGTCGCATAGGCAAACGGAAACCGCCTAGTAATTTTATTCGCCTTGAATTTGGTTTTTGCTTATAAAAATTAATGGACTATTGAAAACCCTTCTCTTGCAAATGTTGAATGCGTAGAGCCGCTCGTCGTGGCATGCATTACTCTAGATATTTTGATATATCGGTGGATTTGAATTATTATTTGTGGATATCAATGTTAATTTTTAAATTTGAATTGTGTTTAGTAAGTAAAATTTTTCGTGATTCTCAGGTTTCATTCAAGATGTCTTTCAATCTGTTTTGTCATTTTTTAAAAAAAAAATCAACTTATTGTTCCTATTTATAATGATTGGAGAAGGAACTTGAATATAGTGCTGACTGCAAAGGGGTACAACTTCGTACTCTCTGAGAACTATATGTATACACCTATAGAGGCATCCACTAGACAGGAGAAAGAGAAGTATTCTAGGTTTAAAAAGGCTGACGAGATTACCTGTTGCTACATTTTGGCTTCTATATTTTGGCTTCTATGTAAAACTTGTTTCATCATCAACATCAGACCATGGATTCCGCCTATGACACGCTCCTCAATCTCAAGGACTGTCCGACAGGAGGCCATGATGATCCTAATGAACTCGTCTATGGCTAAGGGCACTACTGACCAGTTGGGAATTGAGATTGAAGTGAATACACATACCGTTCTTGCTAGAATTAAAACTTTGCATAAATTTTTGAATTGTAGAACATAGGAACGATGTCCAACAACAAAACATTTGAATCAATATGACCTCAGATTTAAATGATGGAGCCACCATCTAATAAAATCGAGAATTATAACATGTTAATCAAGGGAATATCCCATCTGATATTTACAAAGCAAAATGAACATAGCAGCACAAACACAAGGCTACAAAAATAGATTTGCCTCAGCTGCATTTACTTGTTTGTTACCACCTCTTTGCGTTCAACTTTCTTTTCTACTCCTGTGTCAACAACTTTTCCCTAAAAAGGACTACATGGACACATTGCAAAAACCCAAAAAAAAAAACAAATATTGAGGGGTGTTCTTGTGGGAAATATTTGCTCCTTAAATTCTATGACTGCCAGAACAAGTCGAAATCATTACTGTACAACGAACGATCTTGAATTTCCAAATTTGCAACATGCCAGTTTACCAGCTTCGACTGGATACATTTACACAA